TAACCAGATGTAAGCAAAGAGGAAAAGGGTCTTGGTTGGCATCTATGGCTGTAGGTGAAGTCCTCTCTACACATATGTATTGCACAGTTAGTTGGTTAATAGACTATTTATGTGTGCAAGGTAAGTATCATGCTACAAATAGGTCCATCCAGCTATAAGATTAGAGCTTGAAAATGTGTAATAACCTTATAGCTGGTTTCTAACCAGCTTTAATTTACATATGTAGCAAGGAATACATTGGGAGTCCTTACGACTGGAAGCCCCATTAGTTGTAGAGCTTGCTATGTGCTAGTGCAGGGAGAGCCCAGGATCTTCCTGTGCTAGCAATAGGGCATGATTGGATCTCATGCTGGATCCCACAGTCATGCCTTCTGCCATCCGTGTGTGGCATGGCAGAGATGCGATTGTGCGGAACATGCATCAGATCCTATCATGCCTTTACCTGAATGTCTAGAGGTGCCCTGAGTCTGGCTGGAAGATGCTTAGAGAATGTTATGTTTGTGGTTTTAATTTAGTTAAACTAAAATGGTGTTTATTAACTATACTACTAAACGATACAAACTTTTGCTGTTTATTTTAAGTGTAGGATGATTTTAACACTTTCCCTATGAAAATATGCTTTCATAATATACTTTCCTTTTATTTCTATAAAATGCTTAAAAATCATCTAGCTACTGACATATTAACAAACATGGTTTGTGATCTCCATTGTATTTATAGTGATGTTGTAGCATGATGGTCCAAGAATTGTGGGAGGGAAGGACTTCTTAAGATGGTATTTTAAATTGGACTTATTGTGTAGTAGGGATAGAGTTAAATACATTTTTTAATGTAAGATGTTCTTCATCAGGTCAGAATGTGTTCCATGTCTGCTTGTCTGCTGTAAAGTGTACATGTATTGACACCAGTCTTGCAAGATGCTGCATGTCATTTCTGAGATTTCTGGTGTCTTTTTTCCTCTTGACTTCAGAATAATATTTAAAGGGTTGAGGATGCTTGCCATTTTGTGGATTTATGCCCATACTTTAAACACTTCTGGGTCTTTTGATTTTGAAGGCACTAACTTAAAACCTAAAATACTATTTATTAGTAGTAGTAATAAAAATGCTGCCATATAGAAAGAGTATGTTTTATGTAAGAGCCTTAAGATGCAACTTGTTTGTTAGGGGTTAATCGGATTTTACTGACGTGCTTCTGTGCTAATACAGGATTAAAGGAAAATGGATGACTGCTTTTATTGTTTTTTTTGATACAGTAGTGAGGGAGTGGAGCATTACATGACTCTTCTGACGGTCAGCATGTAGTTTTTTAGATGTGTGTATGATTGTGGAACTTACCTGAACAACTATGTCTTTACTGTAGAGTCAGGTAATATAAGTGTGAGTGCTGTCTGGCTAAACTACATATTCCTCAGGTTACACAGAACTGTATTTCTCAAGCCTAGCCCCCCTCTTTAGGTATTTCTCATGCTTCAGGTGAAATTAATTTGGTTCTTGAGTCTGACACTTCAGAAACAGTTGCCTCCACATGTGTATTTTTGACTCAGTATTCCAGCTTGTTACGTCTAGTTTGAGCCCTTGAGGAAGGCAGGGCCACATTTTTCTTTCTGGCAAACACAGCTATACCTCAGTAGCTGTCTTCAATAAAATGCCAATTCCAAGTACTGTATGTTAGAGAGTCTCTTTTAGCATAACAAATAGAAATGGAAAATAGGTTTTAAGTGCAAGTTTTAATCACAATAATGTGTGTGTGTTGGATGCTAGGCAAAACCCACTGAAGAGATGAATGTTATGGTTGTTATAACTTATAACAATAGATTATGGTTATAAAACCTATTGACTAAACAGTTTAAATGTCATGTGTGTTGCAGTATCCAGGTTGTAGCCGTATGGGTCTAGAGGAAAAGGCAATCAGGACTCATAGTAGAGATGATATCTTTTATTAGATCAACGAGATTTTTGCAAAAAAAATTATTTAATTATAAGCTTTCAGGCCATTGGAGAAAAAAGATTGTAAAAGTTCTCCTGGGTAGAAATGCAAGTTTGTATTTCATAGGATTTCACAGAGGAGTCACTAGATGGAAAACTCCTCTGGGCAGTCAGTTTATAGCTGGTATGGAGCCTCTCACCTCCTGTGAGGATCTGTGATGTTGCAAATTACCTTGAAACAAAGGCAGGAGCAGGATCTCTGGTTTCAGGTGGTCACAGCTGCTTCCTGCTTGGGAAGATATGAAGATTTCATTGTTAAAAATCGGCTAAAATTCAGTATCTTCCATGTGTCAGGTATCCAGGTTGTAGCCGTATTGGTCTAGAGGAAAAGGCAATTGAGACTCGTAGTAGAGATGATATTTTTTATTAGGCCAATAAGATTTTTGCAAAAAAAAGTCTTTAATTACAAATGTGTGTTGCCATACTTGTGTACTCTGTTTCCAGCAGCTGGTTAAATGTGTTAATTCATCCATCACCTAATTAGGTCAAAATGTGTTTCTGATAGTTATCCCCTTCCTGGAATTTATGCTTAATTTTTATAATCATTGGGTTGTTCTGGTTCTTTTCTGGTTATTGCCTTGTCTTCCCACAACCCCCAGTTCCCTTGCTGGTATAGAAACTTACAAATGAGATTGCTTTCCCCTATCAGCTTTAGGGTGATTAATCCTATTGCCTTGCACTATGGCACTATCAAATAATTTTGCACACCATTGGTTTGCACTCCATACTAAGGTTGCACTTGCTATTTCTGTCTGGCTTTAAAGAAGATAACACCCTTTATATAAAGCATGCAAAATGGAGACTTTATTTCTTCTGTCTGTCTTCTTCCAGATACTAAGTTAATAGTCTGGGATGTATACCCTTTCTTATCCTATTAGTTTATCCTGGCCCTGGCTGAAAGCCCACACCTCCCTCTGGAATTTCTTTAGAAGGGCTCGGAAGAGTTGGAGAGACTTTTTTTTTTTTTTTTAAACTCCTGTCACATTCACCTATTTAGCTCCTTAGCATCTGAGGCAGGAGGAAGGATCCCTTTACACTTGGTTCTAGGTCATATTGTTTGAAGGATATTATATGACTTCATACTGTTGTCATCTTTGTACCCTTGTGAGTCCTACTCTCACATCTAGTCTGCTGACTCACAAATAGTGAGATGGCTAAGAACTACTTAGGATATATGTGAGAAGCAAAGTTTTAGTGATCTTTTATTGGACCAACTGTATAGTTTGGAGAAATGCTATACGAAGTTTTGCCTGAAAGCCCACAAAACCCCTTACTGCTTCCATGTTCTCTGGGCTATTAAGGCTACAACAGCAGTCCAGCCCTATCCGGGTATAGACAGACCTAGCTGTTGTATACATGTCAAATTATACTGATAACACACTGTAACTGTTACAGCCACATACTTATGTAGCAACACAGGTGTAGCAAAACCATTGCTACTTAAATCTAGAATGAAACCAGGTGATTTTGTTAAACTATCACTATAGCAGCATGCAGACTTAACAGTTACAGCTTAACAGCTGAATTGCATTCCTGAGTGGCTGCCTCCCCCCTTCCCTTTTTAAATAAGTTGGAAGGTACATTTCTTCATAACCTTATGCTTAAATCATAAATGTCTTTCTTGTTCACAAACTACCTATTAAAAATTGGGGGCTTCAGCTCCCATACTTTGTTGTGTTACAGCCTCTCCTGCAGCTAACATGCTGAATTTTGAGTAAAATCTTCAGTCCCATTTTCTTTTGTGTGGGAATTAGTCTTCTGGTGAGGTCTCTGTTCCCTCTGGAGAGTCCCTGCTCAAGTATTTGTTGTACACAAGAGAAAAGAGAGAATCCAGCAGCCTAGGATCAAAGAGCATGCTGCAACATGGGTGAGAGAGAGGAGGAGGAAGGAAACTTGAGACATAAGAAAGAATTCTCTTTAAGGCTATATCTTGCAGCATATAGGTCTATGTAGTATCCCTTTAACTGGCTGAAATACATCTTTTATGCACATTGGGAGCAGGAAGTGTAACTGTTGACTGGAAAGAGTATCAGATAAGAAACTGTAAAAACAAGTTGTATTTTTGCTCCAGCTCATAATGAGACAAAAATGTTTACAGTTGATTCTGCACGAGCAATTCCTGGCCCTTCTGAATAGCATGAGATATAGTGAAAAAATGGAAGATTAGCTTAATATATCATATTCCCTTTATCCCTCACTGATAATAGATACGTAAATAGAATTTTTATTGTCTTAGGACAAATGTACTAGGACTTTAATAGTTTTTTCCACTGAGAAGTCTGCTTTTCAGCATTCACGACATTCCAGACTCCCTTATGTATTATAACCTGACACTGCAGCAGGAAAGCATGTGTTTTGCTCTTAGCTGCAATTTTAATCGAAATATTAGAAAACTGTTATACTTACTAACAACAATACTGAAACTGTGGAAAAAATGTATCTGGTAGTTTCCTGAAGAAAGTCTGCACTGAGTGGGAACAGCTTTGTGTCTGACAATAGTCCAATACTAACATTAAAAGCAATAGGAAGAACTTGTAGAAATTATTTGCAGCTCTGCACACTTTTATTTTTTAATGGGATGTAAGAATTGTATCGTTTTGGAACTCAGTTGTCCTACTAAGTCATTCATTTATGCCTTGCCTACAATTAAAAGATTTTGCCAGGATAACTGTGTATGTGGGGAGTTTGGAAAAATCTCATGCATAAGCCAGCTTTTCTGGCAAGGGCCCCAGTGCTATTATGGCAGTAGGGTCATCTTTCTCAGTACACCTTATTTCATTTGGGGAAGTAGTTTAAACTATATTGGCAGAGTTTGTTTGCTGGTTTAAGCTACATCTCCACTAGGGGAAGCTTAAGCCGTAATTGTAAGACAGGAAATTTTTGAACCCTGCTCAAAGATGTAGCAGCACATTTCTGTAGTTTGATATCACACTAAATGGCGTTACAGTTGCTAAAGGCTTTTGCTTAAATTTAAACAAATATAGTCATAAATCCTTGTTCTTTTCCTCATAGACCTTTCAGCAGCCCAGAGAAAATTTGCCCACTCCCTGAGGGATTTTAAATTTGAATTCATTGGTGATGCTGAGACGGATGATGAGCGATGTATAGGTAAGAAAGAGCTGAATTTGTGCACACATTTTTGGCCTTGTAATGTATTTCTATGAGGTCTTCATTTTTTTCCCCCGTTACAGATGCATCTCTGCACGAGTTCTCAAACTTCTTAAAGAATCTTGAAGAACAAAGAGAAATTCTGGTGAGTTGAAAGTTCTTTACAGTAAAAATAAAGTGAGCATAAAACAAGGATTAAAATGAGACCTAATTAAAATTGTTTGTCCTCAAGTTAAACAGCAAGGTGTTGGCATCAGTGTCTTTTTGTAAACTATTATTGGGCAATTTTGAATTTGCTTCTAAGTTACTTGTAGCTTCTCCTGACTAAGGGGTAAATACTGTGGTGTTCATGAAGAGCTCCCAGAATCTAGATGAGGGCAGGTACAAAAGTTACACTTATTGTGCAGTAAGTGTGCAGAAAGTGCTTTACAGTCATAACTGAATTGATGGTCAAGGGACATAGAGCACCATAAAAATGGCAGGTCCCGCTCTAAGATAACCCTGGATTGATGTGCTATCAGACTTCAGTGCAGTAGGTTAGAGCGTGGTACTGAACATCTGTGCCAGATCCCATCTTGACTTAAGGTAGGTCACATTTTGTTGACATACCATTGAGAATTGCAGCACCCAGCTAACCCCCTCCTCCCATGGGGTGGCAGTCTAACCTAGGCCAGAGCTCATCTCCTCTGCCCAAGCGCTGGGCCAGCCCTGCCCCTGGACTCTCTCTGATGAGAGTCAGCGGAGCCTCTGTCTCCATGCCTGCCTGCATCCATTCTCCAGGGTAGCATATATCCATCCACACAAAGAAACCTGTTGCTGAATAGCTCTTATTGACTATTGTCATGGGTGCTAGTGAGCAAGTACTAAATGTTTGGGTCTGCTGCTATTTTGCCTCTGCTCACAGTTAGTATGTCTTAAGGACTGATTCATCTTCACTGATTTCTGGGAATGGGCAAGTTCCCCAATGGAAATAAAAATTTACTTGAACATGCCCAAAATGGACATCAGCACACTCGCACACACTATTACATAACATCTCTACTTTCCAACTAATCTGAGGAAACTGACTACATGTCTAAAATGTAGGTTATGAGAAATAACTTACACTGCCTGTACTCAGTACAGGATGTAGAACCAGAAACCTTTGAGTCCAGCTCACAGACACAAAATCCCAGAAATCTTGGATGCATTCAATAGCCCGTAAAGAAGCAGAGTGTGTTTCTCTTTTTTCATGTCTTCCAAGGCAATTTCTGAAATTTCTGGTCCTTTGAGTAATGGTTTGGAACTATGTGCACATGATAGAAAGCTGGTTCAGACAGTCTGTTACAGAGTATGAGGTATGCTGCTGGGAGTCCCCCAGGTGCATACTTAGTGCAGCTAGTTTCTGGAACACAGGTTTTGTCAAGCTCCCGCACTGTTTTATTAGTTACCATTTTTCAGTTGTTGCTTTTCCTGGCTATGTGAATAATAATATCCAATAGTTTTGCTAGCCTTAATGTAATGTTCCCTTCTTAGAGCAACCCCCTCCCCGCCATTTAAAGAAAAAAACAACCCTCTGGGACGCAGTATGTAAGACGTTCCCTTTAGGAAACACCTCACATTCTTCAATGGGAGGAGAGGAAACTCTTTCCGTGCCTTCCCAATCTGCTGCCTGCAAAAGAAGCGGTGACTTCATTTTCCTTTCAGAATCCAGTAGATTTCTTAAAATTTGTACAGAATTTTGGAAGCCAGGGGGGAGACAGGGACACCCTCCTAAAACTGTAGTGAGTGGAGGCAGTCAGGCTGTCCCATTTACCAACTCGTGCCCCAGAAAGGATGATTTAGGATCACCAGGTATTTGGTACTGTGTCAGTATTCCATCATTTCTGTTTTAATTGCCTAATTAGGTGATGTCCTAACGTTACCAGCCAATCGGAAGCATTGTGTGTTTGCAAGACAAGAAGTGAAGCTGTGACCCATAGGGCCAGGACAATACACTATTTATCAAGAAATTGTTGGAAGGTTTTAAAAGGCATTGATTGTTTGCATTCAGGGCAATAGAGTGTTCCCATTGTGTGTTTTCTGAAGTGCTGTAATGTTGTAATGGATAGTGCTTTGGAGGGGCGGGGTTTAAGTTTATCACTCAAACTTTCAGTCACATGCAGGTTGTTGAAATGTAGTGCCACTTAAATCTAAAACTGGGGTAATTTTGCCTTGATTTCAAGTGGAGCAGGATTGGATCTTTGTACTATGTACTCTATAAGTTACATTACTAGCCTTCCCTTGTTTTGTCTTCAAACAATGAATTAGAGAAATTGTCTGAGCTAGGGAAAATCACATCCCCAGGTGGGTAATTTATTAAAAGCAGTTACAGATATGAAAGCATTTTACAGTTTGGGGGAAGCGAGAGGGAAGACAGCAATTATAGAGGTGAATGAAGCCAAATAAGGCTTATCAGGTGAAGCTGTTGAGTGCTATATACCTGTAAAGAAAATAGGAATAAGAGCCAGTTATGTGTGGGGGGTCTAAATTAGGAAGTAAAGTCTTGTCTGAAATATATTAATAGCACTCCACTTTCTTACTTCTTCCGAAGGCTTTTGTGGAGAAAATAATAACAAAAAGAAAACTCTTTTTTGTTTTTGGTATCTACAATCAATAATATATACTATTTCCATCTTGCATTCTCCAAAGTGATTTCAGATGCATTTGATGCAGTAAGTGGCTGCTTACACTCAGTATTTTTTTAATGTCCTGATGCAAACAGTGTCTTCTTCAAACTATGTTTGTGTTTGCCTAAGACTTAGGTTAGTTCTCAGTTCTGAAGCAAAAGCTCTCTGGACTTTCCCAGTTAATTCAAAAATCACTTTAATGTACAGAAGGGATTAAAGCCTTAAATATGAAATTTCAATTTAGGTGCATAGGAGAGGGTTTACATTAGAGTCTTGGATCTGAATCTGGCACATGGTTTTGGTTTCGACACTAAAATGGTTCTGCTTATGTCTGTTCTTCAAGGGTTACAGCTCTGAATGATGCAAAGTAATGAGAGGAGATGATCTCTCCTTATCTCTATCTCATACACCCTTCTGTAATCTCCTTCCTTTTCAAAATGAATTCATACTAACACAAAACAGCCACTTGACTGTGTGTTGCCTTGTGCCTCCTCACTTGTGACATCTGTAGTTATATTGGAATCTCCTCCAGACAGGGACTTTGTATAGTGCCAGTAAAGGATGGGGAAAGAGAAGGTAAAAGTGGAAAAAATGCAATCTAGTAAAATTTGTCAAGTACTATTTGGGGTTGCCATCCATTAATTTTTTAAAAAATTATTTTTATTTATTTATTTATTTATTTATTTATTTTGGAGGGAAGGTTCCTGCAGTGTCCTTCATTCTCATTCAGTGCAGATGGACTTCCCCTTTTCTTTCTCACTGATCAGATAGCTAGCAGACGATAGTTCGGTGTGTGGGCGTGTGGTTGTTGTATGGGGCTGGGGCACTGAACTTCCAAGCCAGGACAAGCAGAGAGACATCCTGTGATCCTAAGGCACCACTTGGGCTGCGGACCCTTGAATTTTACAGCCTGGGAGGGGCATGTGGCATTGCTAGAATCACGAGGCAACAGCTGAAAGCTCCTGGACAATTCAGGATTCTGGAGGTAACCTGAGCAACTGAGCCCAGGTGATGCAGGTACAGGGGTCCTAAGCCTCTGAAGTGAGAACGAGAGCCACATGTTGGGAACTGCAACCTTGTGCATTCACCATTGCTTCCATCTATCCGTTCACCCTTCCAGCCTTTCAACCATCCCTTTGCAGCCAGATCCTCACCTACGGACACCGAGACCTCAATGAGCTATCTCACAGACCTTGGATGAACACAGCTTGTCTGTTCCCAACAGCTAAACATGGGGATGCAAATGGTAGTTTGGGGAAATAAAGGAACTCAGTGGCATCTGGGGTGAGGAACACATCCAGCATTGGCCCCAGATAGGGCATTGAATTAGATACGTCTTCAAGTGTATTGCCCAGGAGATGCAGGGGAGGGGTCACAATAGAGACTGGGAGCAGTGTCTTGCCAAGATCATTTTGATGAGAAGGCATTATTACTGGATGCTTGTTGCTAGAAAGCAGTCCATGGGACGGGGTCAGAGCATGCCATTCTGCAAGGACCTGTCCCATTTCCTTGACAACAACAGGGCAGATGCCCCCTGCTCCCCCCCACACCCACAGGATCAGGGGTGTTCTGGAGGAGTCTCCTGCATGGACCCCAATGGAGGAGGCGGTGGCGGAGGGAGGTCCTGCAACATTGTTCCCCACACCGGGGTCACAGCTGTTCCAGACCAAGTCCTATTGCACGTCTCTGTGCCCTCCTAGAGGTGCAGAGCATGTACCAGCACCCCTAGTATCAGAAAAGTGGCTGCTGCGCTGACATGACCCACAGGACCTGCTCCCAGTTCTGGCATTTCTCCTGATGAGCCATGCTATGTGCAAGGATGCCATGCAACCTCTGATGGTAAGTTTCACCCCACCTCCACATGACCGTGATGAAGATTCAGGCCTTGTGGCGGGAAGTGCAGGGGGAAAGAAAGGGGGAGCTGAGGCCACCACAGACCACCCCCTTGCTGTCAGAGCCCTCTCTCAGGCCATTATGTCCGAAAAGGGCTCAAAGAGGTCGGGGCTGAGGGAAGGGGCATGAATGCTAGGGCATTGGGGAAGGTGAATTGCCTGTTTTCCCCCAACCCCTGCCCTCTTCTGCTGAAGCCTGGAGCCCAGCCAAGGCATCAGTCGTCCCTTTCCCCCTCAGCCCCGAAAGTAGGGTGCCAAGTTAAAAGCTCCCTACCCTGTGTGTCTTCAAGGTTTTATGTTTGTTTGAGTTCAAGCCTTGAGGTGTTCCTCCTGACCCCAAGCCCCTTTCCAGGTTCTGTCATTCCCATTCTCAACCCCCCCATCCCCACCCTGCCACCACCACCAAATGTTTGCTATTTTGTGTGAATTGAGAGGAGGGACCAAGCTGAGACTTGAGCAATGTACAGCAGATTTTCTTTATTAAAGACAGGAAAAGTTTGGCAACAACAACATCTTAAATGTCTCTTCCTTGTGGTGTATTCCCCCACATGCAGGTGTGTGCCATGGTGGGGGGAGGGTTGGGGAGGGAGAGGAGAAGGGGGACA